CAGAACAAGGCTGGCCTCTGGCAGGGTCAGGGAAACCAGGTTGCCTGCTCCATGCAGAAAGAGCCATGGCTCTGTGCAATAGGGAGAATCCTATTCTTTGAGCCCTGGCTACCTCCAAAGCTCCTTGTGGGAATATTTTTCCCACTCCATGAACACAGAAGCACTACTACCCAGAATAATATGCACATGTTTCTCCAGGGAAACACTCGCGAGTTCTTTTTAAGTTCAAGACTTTGGCATCAAGTGCTGTGGAAATACAGCCACCTGGGACTGTGCAGACAAAAACACAAAATCAGCCATGACTGGGCACAATAAGCAGAAGAAAGGCTCAAGTTCTGTGCTCATCAGGCACGTAACTTAAAAATGAAGACCCAGAGCGGGGAGGGGCTTGGACCTGCCTCAGCTGAGTGTGCCCAGCTCTGCTGACTCCCCATGGGAGACCTTGACTTGAGAAATGTGGGCATGTGGGGGTAGGCTTGGGGGGGAAGGCTGGGGTGGTGGGAAGAGTGGGGATCTGTGGTTGGTATATAAAGTGAATAGAAAATTTCTTAGTGATAAAAAAAAAAAAATGAAGACCCAAAGAAAGTTCCAGCACTAGGCCAGCACCATGTGGCTTCCTTGATGCTGGTCTTCCTTCACTGCCAACCACCTGAAGGCTCTGTACTTGGCACCGCATCCCCTTCTTCCTAAATACTCTCAAATTGACATCACCCAACACCTGGTAACTTCCACACTCACCTAGGCCCAGTGTTCTTCAAGGAATGGCAGACAGACAGACAGCTGCCCAGCTGGCGGTCTCCACTTGGCTGTTTTGGCAGGTCTCCCAGGCACCTGCCAAACCACAGCTCTGGATCTCCTTACAAACTCCTGATCCAGACTTCTCTCAGTGCCTTAGGCCAAAACCCGAGAACCATCCTGTATGCATGCTCACCCTCATCCTCATCTCTGCCTGGGTCCAACCAGGGCACAGGGTACCAGCTGCTCTCCCCTCCACCCTCCCAACTCCTCACGCTGCCTCCCCAGCCCTTCCCCCAATAGCCTGTTGGTGTTTTGAGCTATCTGTCAATGTGCATTCAGCCCCCTGGATCTGAGGTTATAGGAAATATTCAAAACTGAAAATTGCATCTGTCCTGAACAAGAGATTTTTCCTTAGCAAAACAGTATATCAGCCATTCTCAGAACCAGAAAATACTGCCTGAAACACTGGGGCTTAGATGTAAGGCATAGATATTGTGAGTTACAGAATTTTTATTGTATGTATTTTTTGCTCATAATATAGACACATAATGACTTAATTATGGGGGAAAAGATTTTTAATATATCCCTACGATCATCTCTCAGCATTTAAGTATCAAATTAGTATAATTGTGAATGGTAGTGTGTTAGGATGTTCATTTTTAAAAACTACCATTTGAGCCAGGTGGTGGTGGCACACACATTTAATCCTAGCACTTGGGAGGCAGAGGCAGGTGGATCTCTGTAATTTTGAGGCCGGCCTGGTTTACAGAGTGAGTTCCAGGACAGCCAGGGCTGTTACACAGAGAAACCCTGTCTCAAAAAAACAAAAATGAATGGTGGCCTGGTATGGTGGCTCACCCTAGAACTTGAGAAGCAAAGGCAGGTGAATCATCATGAGTTCCAGACTACCAGCATGGTCTACATATTGAGTTCTAGGCCAACCAGGACTACACAATGAGATTATGTCTTTAAAAAAACAAAGTGGCACATCCCAACAGGCAGTCTGTCTTAGTCAGTGTTCTGTTGCTGTGAAGAGACACCATGACCATGGCAACTCTCATAAAAGAGAAGCATTTGATTGGGGCTTGATTACAGTTTCAGAGGTTTAGTTCATTGTCATCATGGCAGGAGCATGGCGGCACATGGGCAGACATGGTGCTGGAGAAGTAGCTGAGCGTTCTACATCCAGATCCACGGGTAGCAGGAAGAGCAGAGCCACTGAGCCTGGCTTGGGCTCTGAAACCTCAAAGTCCACCCTCAGTGACACACTTCCTCCAACAAGGCCACACCTCCTAATCCTGTCCAGTCCTG